AAAAAAAAACTTCGAATTCTCCTAATAGTCAAACTAGCAAAACTTGAAGTCAACTTCGCTTTTTTTTTACTGGGAAGAGCGTAAGCAAAACACTAATAATACTAAACTTCTAAACTTCATAAAAAATGCATACCCGTTCAGTCGTGAAACTCCTTGATCAAAATGATGTAAATCACATTGGTCAATCGGAAAATTAAGAGCTGATTGGTAGGTGGATACCGTATGACCCCCCTGTGGCATCAATGGAGCCCCATAGGTGGCTATCGGCACTGCAGTTGAATGTGTACTTGGATTCGCTCCACATGAACTTCCTCGGAAACTGAAGGGCAAACAACATTCCATCGAAATGACTTCCCAATTCAGTTCATTTACTTGTAAAAAATAGTAAACAAGAGGAAATAAAGATAGGAAAACGAAATAATGCTCACGTTGAAACGGGAGCTGTTCCAGCAGCTACGTATGTGACATTGGTAGCGTTGGAATCATCATACTCTTCAAGTTTTGTACCAACAGAATGTGAATTATTGGTTCGCATATGTACTGAATATATATCCATATGTACTCAAATTTTATGACTCATAAAATATGGCCTCTTGTTCTAGTGGAGAAGGAGAAGGACCATGAAAAACAGTGGGGTGTAGAGTCAGGTTAATGATTCGAACATGGTCCTTTCTGTCTATTCTATAGGCTAAGAAGGATTCGACCCGACGGGACCTTGTGAGCTTCATCAGCTCTTATCAGCATCAGAATACAGCCATTTGTTTCCCTATCAATTTTGACAATTACAAAACCCATATGAATCACGTTTTTGTTCGAGAGGTGCTGAGCTACGCCAAACTACTCGAGGGTATAGTTTCGAGAACCATAAATTGCACAGGAACCAGAAATGAGTTTTTAGCTAAACAGAGACGAACCGCTTCTGCAAATTAATCTCAGTGTATCGAGACAAAAGGAGGCAAACTTATAAAAGGTAACCACGATCGAAATGCTCTATCCTGTTATTGAAGTTATTTTTGCCGGTTTTATTAAAAGCTGGAGCACGAAAATAGTAACGATCATTTCATCGAGCAAATAAGAATATAAGAAAACAACTAACCGGAATCGGTATCATCGCACTGCCTGTTGCATCCAGATGGCCTACGGTCGCGGTTAGCTGAGGACCGCGAGCGATTTGAGCCCAATGACACGTTGCTGCCAGACCATGAATGTTGTCGCCTGCAAATTACCAAACAGATCACCGCCTTATTGGTGTCTACTAAGACTTCTGAAGAGGACTTTCACGGCATTAATCATTGTCATAGCTTCATGGTTTAGCAGACGGTGACTAGGAATACGTACTTATCAATGTAATGGTTCCGCTCTCCCCGAATTCAATAAATTTCCCAACCGTTATGTAAAGTGCAATCAGGAACAGTTTTAAGTACACAGGTTCAGAGAAAAGACAATTTTTAAAGTTTCGTATTTAAAGCAAGTCAAACATTCTCTTTGATTAGATCACAATAGCAAAACAGCAGTGACCCAATGGCGGAACGAATGCTTCCAGTCAATAGTTTCATTAAACACAATTGAAAAAGCATTTTGTTCAAAAAAAGCTGGTAACAATATGCGTAACTTGATTCTTAATTCAAAGGCACAGTCTACGTTAAGAATGGTTCCTGAGACTTCTCCCTAGGATGAAACTGACCCCCCAAGGAGAGCCTTAAGGACGCTTTCATAACTAAAAACAGTCAAGATAGGGCGTAATAAGGGCTCCCAAACCGGCATAGTCGACGTACACACCCAAGGTGGACGAGTTGTTAAGCGTCGTAAAAGCTGTGGAGTTTGCACCATTCTCACCGGGACCGACACATTGCATGCAGAAAGCGTAATGCAGACAGCTGTATGCAATGGAGCGCGCGTTCGAATAGCTAGTCCAAATACCCCTTCCATGCATCTTTTTTCGTAATATTCTCATTCAAGCGCTAATTTTACCTCTTTTTTGAAACCTCATATTTCTCCAAATGCACGGATTTCCGCGTTTTCTTCACCACTTTTGCAGTATTCTGGATTATCACTTCCATTACTCGTTTAAAACGAGATAACACAAAATATCTTAACTGTGCCTTTGATTTGGATGTCAGCAACTCACAAAAGACCTCCAACGTTATGTGCATGCATAACATTATCATATTCTTGTACTCGATACATATCCATGTCGTTGGTTCGATGCCGGGGTCGGCGACTGTTTTCGAATGCTGAACAAATACCAAATTCTAGGGACTGTTGGCAGAGTAACGACAACAGTAGAAGCAGTGCTTTGAACGAGAAAAGGAAATATTATATAATGATCAAAAATCATAAAAAATAATAATAAGCGGATTAGATTATGCGAAAGGATGGGAACGTGAATTGTGAACTCGGCCACTATTCTTGTCTACATGAATTTACGATTTTACGCTTTCTCTGATGTTTAAAAGCGTTTGTTCGGATATTCTATTTTTATCATACGATCCCTTTGTTTCTATATATCTATTGATCGATTCCGTAATTTAGGCAACTTATATTAAACTACCAAAAACTGGTACAAATTAGGTTTTACATCTTTTGTTGCTCTAACATCAGCAATCTTAAGGGGATCCGTCTACTCTTCTCGCCGCGTAGACAGATTTTACCTCACATACCCAATTGACAATGAAAGTCAACAAATACAGAGGCGCCTGTTTTATAGGGTAGAAATAAAATTTTGAGGATTACGTGAAGGTGATGAAAACGTTAGCAAGTGGTGCAGGTGATGGAGGTGATGTAGGAAAAGAACTGAACGACAGCCTCACATTGGAGGGAGGGGGGGAGGAGGAGGAGGAGGAGGAGGAGAGAGTTCATCTTTGGGGGAAGTGTGCTAAGTTATCGAACCTAGACAGAAGTTGTGTCCCAACAAAACAGAGGCTTGGAATGGCATTCAAAGGAGAGGAGGCGCTCGTTTTATAATACAAATGCATTGAGATTCATCGATGACATACAATCACATTTTAGCTGCAGTAATCGGAATGAAGTTAACTTACTTGAATATCCGTTGCTTCGACGATATCGGGAATTCGTAATTGTTCCACGGGATGAAGAGGAAATATTTCTCACCGGCCACCTATCATCTAGAAAATACAGTAGTCATCATGAAGAGAATCATAGCCATAATACGTGGAATATCGGCACGCTGAGGAATTACGATTATTCAACCCTCGATCAGCAAACGGCTTTCATCGCGAAATTGACATCCTCTCGCTACTAGAGCGCGCTCAACTTCCGCGTATTGCGACCGTGACCCGGTCCATGACTATAATTATGGGTGTCAACTAAACTGATACCAAAACTGAAGAAAAGCATGACTATTTGAGTTGGGAGTCAGAAAAATCATATATCCGCATACGATAACGAAATTTGCAGCACTGCATCACGCAAGGAGAGCTTTAGGCTTTTTTTCAAGGTGGTTAAATATAAAACTTATATAGAAATTGATCGAAAATTGTAGAGTAAATTCAAGTGGAAAGGTTGGGCGGCGACCAAAGTCGTGTATAATCAAACTGGATCGGATTTCCTCAATCCCCAACCTCCACCACCACATCAATAAAAGCCGTCTTCCCCAGAATAGTAACCAGTCAGATTGTTGCCGGTAAGCTAATGAAAACGTACCTCTATTCTGGTATTCTCTGAAATCAACAGGTCGGTGTCGATGGGAGCCAAATGGCTGACTTGTGGTAACTGATCCTGCAATTTCCGGTATTACCGTGAGTTCCCACGAATTGCCCTACTACTTACTATTATTTATTTAAAGTTTACAATTACCCCTACAAAATTTACAAACAAGAACAGGATCGGTGGCCTATAAGCTAAGCTTCCATGTCCGTAACTAGTAGCGAAAGAATCTTCGTGATTCCCAATATGTATAAAAGAAAGAAGTAGCATAGCAAACCCGTGCGGTTTGAATAACAACAAAATCAATCGAGGATTTCACCTCACTCAAACACTCAAAGATAGGTATGACACCCCTATAAATAATATGAAATTTAGCAATCAATACCTGATACTACTTGAATTACTAAAAGTTCCTCATCTCCTGACTAGTTCCTGTATATCTATTGATTGTGTATTTTCGAATTTCGGTAATTTAGCATGGTTATTAATGTACCAAAAACCAGTATGTATTGGATTTTTATATTTCTTTCTGTCCATAAATACACACAGCAAAAAAACTGCACAAAATTTCTGACAAAAATCTTTATGTTATAGAATGAAGTAAATTTATTATTTTATTGCTGTCAGAACTATCAAAATACCAATAGACGATAGAGGTATAAATTACACGTTAATTTTTATCACTGTTAAAACTATCAAAGTACCCGAAAATCGATAAATAGTATAAAATTACACATTAAACCTTGAATTAGTGGTATTACACAGTAGTGAAAAATCTCTCGAATAATAATGAAACGCCGCTAAAAGTTTCGGTACTATGCTACTATTACACCCCCAAAAACTCAAAATTTTAATTTTCGATGAAACTTCGCCTATAGGGGTAATCCAATGCCCTGATAACGAATATGACCTTTACTTTTGGCGCTGGCGCCATTTGGCGCCAATTTGGCGCCAAGGGTGTTTTCACCAAATTTGCTGAAAACTTGCGCTTAGGGGTTATTTGAGGTCCTGATAACGAATATAACAATCATTTTTGGCGCTGGCGCCAAATTGGCGTCAATTGGAGCCAAACGGCGCCAACGCCAAAGATGAAGGTCATATTCGTTATCAGAGCATCGGATTACCCCTATAGGCGAAGTTTCATCGAAAATTAAAATTTTTTAGTTTTTGGGGGTGTAACAGTAGAATATTTCTGGGGGTGTAATTGTAGAATAGTACCAAAGTTTCGACAAAAAATATTATAATGAAAAAGGAACAATACCAAGCTATAGGAAACTGATGTTATCATGCTCATGTAAAATCTCGAAGATTTGTGAAGGAAAAGTGGCTACGAACCGACGAATTTAGAGTTGCGACAATCCATGTTGTCCTCATCTGACATCCATGATGAAGAACGCTGCATAACTGTACCTGAAAACAAAAGCTACAGTGAACTAACTAAACAAATTCTTATGTGAACAGGCCCACATGTGCACCAAATTGAGTACACTTTTCTCACGATCACGACAACTTAATCACAATCTCGCAAATACTTTCGTTTGACGGAGACTTATTTATTTATTCAAGAAAAAAACGGATCGGAAGTTAGTATGATACTTGCATTTTTTAATTTTAAAGTCGACATGTACTATGTTTTATTAGAAAATATGGAACATATTGAGGATAGGGAGCTGACAAAAAAAAACAGAACGTCAGGTAAAGGAAGCTAGAAACAGAAAACAGCAAAAATTATATCATATTTTTATGGTGTTGATAATCATTTCGCGAGCCGCTCAAAAAAGATCTAAAAAATGTTTCACTTCTAAGGCAAAAGACTACCTAGGTAAGCCAAGGCAGTCTGTTACCCAAGCAAAAAACAATCAAAAAAGGAATCAAAAATTAAATATGTTGAAAAACTGCTGCCTGTAAAATTGAAGCCGTAAATCGTTTCATTTGGAGGCGTTTTTATTTTTACGCGGGAGATTTAAATGAGGTATGGCAGCGGAAGGCCGTACCGCAGGTAATCGATAACCGTGCCAACCATTACGGAGTGGGAGACGCAGACAGCGAAAGGCGTCTGGGAAGTATAGGAGAGCTACGGTCAGGTGTGTGAAGACGATATGTCACTAGTGGTATAGTAGCAGCGGTACGACATGTCCGAAATAAGACCCTATTATTTCTGATGGATTTATATCACCTTAGCATCAGAAAAAATCTCATAATCTGGGAATAGAAAAGGATAACGAGATCACCAGAAAATTAAATATTGCCAAAATATCTATCGTAACTTAGCAACTTCAACATCCTGACATGTATCTTAAATGGGCAGTTTACTGCATAAAGATCAAGTGAGAAATCTATCCTCCACGAAAATATCAAATCCAACAGACTTTTTTTAAGGCTACGTAAGAGCCTATGGAGTTTTGGCCATGCAAATATGAAAATGCAGTTATTAGGTAAATATTTACAAGTTCAGATCAGAAAGAGCGAAGACTGATTGCTCTGAACGAGCTCATGTAGTAATAGTGAGGCAAAAGTGTGTCGTCGTTACCGTTCTGCAACTACAGAAAGTCTAAAAACGGTACAGTAACCTGAAGTGGAACCCTTTTTTCAGTTATTGACAGTACAGATTTTTTAACTGATTTTTGCTTCTTAGTCTACTTCGTGCAATTTACAATTCAGTTCAATTTTTTCTTGGTCCAGCCTCCGGGTACATTTATTCGACATGTTCTGAGTGTCTCCATTTTTGGATTTCACTTTGATTGTTTCGTTTTCTTGATCT